GAGAGAGAGAGAGAGAGAGAGAGAGAGAGAGAGAGAGAGAGAGAGAGGATCAGATGATCAGAGGGGAAAAAAGAACTTTGCTAGGTTTTATAAATTCACTTTTATGATCTGGTCACAGATGGAAGCATGCAAGTTTTATCAAGTCTGCTGTCACTAAGGTAGCTCTTTCTTAAGGGTACATGCTTTAATATTCATAAAAACATCTGCAAAACTTGATACAAATAATCATTGTTTTTAGTGGAGCTGTTATGGACAGAAAATTTGGAACTTTGTTGGGACAGAAATACCATCTCATCTTCCCCTCCATGATCCTCAGGTTCAGACATCAGGAAATGATGGGATGACAGCCAGGAATATGGCTCTAGGTATAATCTTCTTATCACAGACCACATTTGGACTTCTTGGTAATTCTTTTATCTTCTTTAATTTCTTATTGCTTTACTTCTCGGGGTACAAACTGAACTCCACAGATTGGATTTTGAATTATTTTGTTGTAGCCAACTGTTTAACTCTGCTGTGTAAAGGAGTGCCCCAGACAATGGCAGCTTTTGGGCTTAAATATTTACTAAGTGATTTTGGGTGCACTCTCCTCTTTTACATTCACAAAATGGGCAGGAGTACATGTATTTGCAGCAGCAGTTTGCTGAGTGTCTTCCAGGCCATCACTATCAGCAACAGGAACTTCATGGGGCAAGAGTTTAAATTCAAATCATCCAAGTTCACTGGCTTCTTTCTGTGTCTTTGTTGCATTCTGAATATCCCCTTGAGTTCTTATAATCTCTATTACATGACTAGAAAGTTGGGCCACAGAAATATGACAATTCTACAAAACTTTGGCATCTGCTCTGGTTGTCTTGACAAGACTGGACAAATTCTGCATACTTTATTCCTTCCTCTCCCTGATGCTGTGTATCTGGGGCTCTTGGTCTGGGCAAGCATATCTATTGTTCTGATCTTGCACAAGCACAACCAGAGAATAGAGCACATTCCCAGAAACAAACATTCTTCAAAACCATCCACAGAGTCCAGGGTTATAAAAACCATCCTTCTTCAATTGAGTACGTATATGTTCTTTTATATAGCTTCCTGCCTCTTTCAAATGTTTATGTCTTTCTTACATAATCCAAGCTGCTTACTCATAAACATATCCATAGTCATCTTTAGGTGTTTCCCAGCTATGAGTCCCTTTCTGCTCATGAACCAGTACCCCATACCATCTAGCCACTCTGTCCCTTGGATAAGAAATTGTCAAGAACCTGATATGATTAGAAATATATAAACTCAATGCTTCTGAATGGTTATTGATTAATTCCTTATGCCACAGAATTGTATGCATATCATGAACAGTCATCAAACAAAACATTGGTGTTTATGCATAAACTTTTGTGTTATCTGTTTCTAAGCAACTACAAAAAGTGCTCACTCAAATTATGTTAACCCTACATCAAGCATTGTATTTGTCATGTTGTTTGTGACATATGCAAACTTCAAAGACTAAATATAAACACATGAGTGTAAATTTTAGATTTCTGAAAAAAGCTTACTGTAATCATGATAAACTGACTCAGAATATCAACTATATTCATGTTTTTTGATATTTTTTGGTAATTACTTTGATATACCAAATTTATTTTTTTCCTTGCTCTATGTCGATGCTTCTGTCTGTATCTGTATTTTCTCAAATAAATATGGTGTCTATGGTCTCTGATAACTGTGTTCTGTGATGTAATCCCAACCATTTATAAATGACTTTGATATCCAATATCCCTTATCTAAGGGAGAAGATTATCCTTTAGTTCACTGTATCAAAGCTCCTCCCTGTAATCTGAAAAACACACAAATGCAAATAATCTTTCCCAAACAAGTCCAAAAATGCTTGAATACAAGTGACTTGTTTCTAATGAGTCTGTTGATTCCTGTTTTAGATTTCTCAGAACTCATCAGAAATTTCTCCTTATTTATTGCCTACAAGAACATCCTGTGGCATCCAAGTTGTAGAGACAAACTCTGTGATAATTTGGATACTTACTAACAAGTAGACTTCTTTGGCTGCCTAATGGCTGTGAGTGTTTTCATGAGCTCACAGCAAATTTAGGTATATCTGCATGGAAAGAGAGGGATGGGGCGAGAAAAGAAAAGAATAAACACAAAATACAAAACAAGAAAACAATGTTATGACTGACCACATTAGAGGCAGCATTGGTCTCCTCCTTCTCCTGTCTAGGCTTGGAAGGATACTATAGGTGGTTCACATATCTACTTTAGCAAAATATCCTTTCACCTGTGTGCCACAGCAACACACCATTTGACATAAAAGACTTTCCAAAGAATCCATTTCTTTCCACTTCACTTAAACTTAGCCAGGAGGGATCTTGCCTAAATGTTACCACTCCCTTAATCTATTTATCTCCTTGAAAATAGGATCTGGAGATCAGCTCCAGCAGCCGCGCCGCCTGGCTTTTCATTTTCCTTGTTCTCCGCGGGCCGTGGGGGGCTCCGCGCCGCGGCTGTTAGTCATGTTGGATTCTGGAAGTTACAGTCAGTCTGGGGGTGAGCAGCAAAGTTATTCTTCCTATGGAAATCAAGGCAGTCAAGGCTATGGACAAACATCACAAAGCTATTCTGGCTATGGGCAAACGACTGATTCTTCGTATGGACAAAACTATGGTGGTTACTCCGGTTATGGACAAAATCAATCAGGTTATTCACAGTCCTATGGTAGTTATGAAAATCAAAAGCAGAGTTCATATGGCCAGCAATCATATAATAACCAGGGACAACAAAACACGGAATCATCAGGAGGTCAAGGTGGAAGAGCACCTTCATATGGCCAGTCAGACTATGGTCAGCAAGATTCTTATGACCAGCAGTCAGGTTATGATCAGCATCAAGGCTCATATGATGAGCAGTCCAATTATCAGCAACATGATTCCTATAATCAAAACCAGCAATCTTACCATTCACAAAGGGAAAACTACAGCCACCACACACAAGATGACCGTCGTGATGTGAGTAGGTATGGAGAAGATAATAGAGGATATGGCGGGTCACAGGGAGGAGGTAGAGGGCGTGGGGGATATGACAAGGATGGAAGAGGTCCTATGACAGGATCAAGTGGTGGTGACCGCGGTGGCTTCAAAAATTTTGGTGGTCACAGGGATTATGGACCCAGACCAGATGCTGATTCAGAGTCTGATAATTCAGATAACAACACAATCTTTGTGCAAGGACTTGGGGAGGGTGTGTCTACAGATCAAGTGGGAGAGTTCTTTAAGCAAATAGGAATTATCAAGACTAACAAAAAGACTGGAAAACCAATGATAAATCTTTACACAGACAAAGACACAGGAAAGCCAAAAGGGGAAGCAACAGTGTCATTTGATGACCCTCCATCAGCTAAGGCAGCCATTGATTGGTTTGATGGAAAAGAATTCCATGGGAACATCATTAAAGTGTCATTTGCCACTAGAAGGCCTGAATTCATGAGAGGTGGTGGAAGTGGAGGTGGACGACGAGGTCGTGGAGGATATAGAGGCCGTGGAGGTTTTCAGGGGCGAGGTGGAGACCCCAAGAATGGGGACTGGGTTTGCCCTAATCCGTCATGTGGAAATATGAACTTTGCTCGAAGAAATTCCTGTAATCAGTGCAATGAACCTAGACCAGAGGACGCACGTCCCTCAGGGGGAGATTTCCGGGGGAGAGGCTACGGTGGAGAAAGGGGTTACAGAGGTCGTGGGGGCAGAGGTGGAGACCGAGGTGGCTATGGTGGAGACAGAAGTGGGGGAGGTTATGGTGGAGACAGGAGTGGTGGTAGCTATGGTGCAGACAGAAGTGGGGGTGGTTATGGTGGAGACAGGAGTGGGGGTGGCTATGGTGGGGATAGAGGAGGTGGCTATGGAGGAGACAGAGGTGGTTATGGAGGAGACCGAGGAGGCTACGGAGGTGATCGAGGAGGCTACGGAGGTGACCGAGGAGGCTACGGAGGTGACCGAGGTGGATATGGAGACCGCAGCCGAGGGGCCTATGGAGGAGACCGTGGTGGTGGTGGTGGCGGTGGCGGCAGTGGAGGCTACGGTGGAGACAGAAGTGGAGGCTATTGTGGAGACCGAAGTGGTGGCTACGGAGGAGACCGAGGTGGGGGTTATGGAGGTGACAGAGGTGGCTATGGAGGAGACCGAGGTGGCTATGGAGGCAAAATGGGAGGAAGAAACGACTACAGAAATGATCAGCGCAACCGACCGTACTGATGACTGTTTCAGATACTCCATTGTCTCTGACATGATCCATGGGGAACTGTCAGAGTGTGCCTGCTGCTTTCCTCATGGCCTCTTGGGTAGTGAAATTGACATTTGGGTTTTTATTTGGGTGGGAGGGCTGGGGACAATTTTCCTTTTAGAAATGTCCATTAAAAATTTCCCTTTTAGTTTCCCACTTTCTTTTTCCCAACCCTTAAAGCTAAGTGCATTGTAAAATATTGCCAAAATGGAAAGTGTTTTGTAATACTGCAATAAAAGCTGCTTGTTTTTTGTGGAAAAAAAAAAAGAAAGAAAATAGGATCTGGCTCCATTTCTTTTCCTGGTGCCCCTTTATTACTTCAACCATACATTTTATACTTTTTCTTTCCCAGCTAGCCCCCTTTTCATTAAAACACTCTTCATGACCACAAAACTTGAGTCCCTAGATTTGTAGCTACAGATATTTATAAGCCATCATTGTAGGTACTGGAAACTGAACCTGTGTCCTCTCTAAGAGTAACAGGTACTCTTAACCACTGAGACTTTGCTCCATTACACACACACACACACACACACACACACAGAGAGAGAGAGAGAGAGAGAGAGAGAGAGAGAGAGAGAGAGAGAGAGAGAGAGAGGGAGAGGGAGAGGGAGAGGGAGAGGGAGAGGGAGAGCTAACATCCACATTTGAGGTGTATTTTTTCCTTTCTGAGATTGTGTACCTCCCTTAATAATATGGAATCTAAGTTCATCCATTTTCCTGCAAATTTTGTGACTTCATTTTTCCCTGGAGCTGAAGAATACAACATTTTTATATGTTTACTCCATTTTTGTTGTCCACTCATCTTATCCACTAGGGTGGTTCCATTTATATAAACCGTAACTGCTTAATCACTATCAAAATTGGAAACAAATCTCCATGAAGCATCAGGAAAATGAAGTAGTATGGAAATAATCAAATTAAATCAAATTATCAGATTATCTTGCACTTTTTTGTACAGAAAAATTTCCACTTCAGGAAATATGAAGTCTGTTAGCTGTATGCTCCTCTGCACATTAAAATCATTTATTTAATAATGCAAATTAAGGTTTAGCACACAGTCAGGTGGCTGGGGTATATAAGCAGCATCCTTTATTTTGAAATGAAGCTCAGGTAACACATTCCCGAGTCATGATCTTTATTCCATGTAGTGTAGCATTGGTGTAGATTTAATCAGGGCCTATAAGATGGACACTTACTCTTAATTTATTGCAAATGTTTATAATTGCCCCAAGGATGCTTTGAAATGTCTGATAACTATAATAATCTTGACATTCTCTCTTGACAGCCTGAAAGCTGTTTATTAGTCACTGTCTGTTTTCCAGCCTTCAGTTTTCTCATTTGCTCCAGGCTGCATCAACAAGCATGTAGTTAATTCAAGTAGTTTATTGAATCATTTTCTTTGCATTAGTATATATTATGTCATATAGGTAAAAAAAAGTAGTATATTCTCCTATTTAGGATTTATACATAAGTGACTATGCTTTAAAAATATTTCTTAGTTTTATAGATGGGTGTTTACATCATTCAGGAAAATATTCATACACTTAAAATAAATAGATAGATCTAAAAAATAGCGAATCGAAAAGCTTCTTTAGAGCAGCAGCTCCGTACCCAACCGCAGAAAACCAAGAAAAACAGGGACTCCCAGGAGCTTGAACTCACGCAGCATCCCAGGTAAGTTAAAAACAGCACTCACCCCAAACAGGGAGCAACAGGGACCCACTGGGACCCAGGAATTCGCTCCTGGCCCAGGGCGGGCTCCATCCGGTCTGGGCCCCAGCACTCAGGGATCCCGGGAGGCAGCTCTGCACCCAATCTCGCAGACTCCAGAGGAAGCGGGGCTCGCAGGACCTCTGTGCCAAGCAGGGTCTTGGGCTAGGAGGTGGCAGTGCTTGCCCCCGAACAGGGAGTGGCTAGGACCCACTGGGACCCAGGAGTTCACTCCAGGGCCGGAGCGTGGGTTCCTTCCGGTCTGTGCCGGAGCAGATCCCGAGAGTCAGC